GTTTAGTTTTTACACAACAATCGTTTGAAATGTCAGTTACTACGGTAAACAAGGGTTTGTTACCTGCAAAAGATGATGATAAGTAACCTACTACAAACCGTAAAATACACGTATTACACTGTCACTATATATAACTTAAATAATATGCAGCTTTAGCTATCACTTCATTCAAGATTAACCTTATAATGCGGCCTCAATAGCATTGTTAACCNTTAATGGTCCGTTCCTCTCAAAAATTGCTAACTATAGTTGTTTGATCATTGGTATCATGTGATAGTTATTTTACTCAAAATGAAAATAGAATATTGAGATCATGAAAGTTCGAATGTACTGGCAACTTGCAACTCAACCTCGTCTTTTGTTGATATTCACATGCCGCATATATTTGAATTAAAAGTTATGGCTAATTGCATTACAATGAAAACCTATATGTGGTTGTGTTTACCAAATAGCTTAAAATTTTAATACAAGGAAAACCTGTATGTGGTTGTTCTTACCAAATAAGATAGAAACTATAATTCTTCTAGCAATAAGTAGGAACGAAACTTCTATTAATTAAGATTGAAATTATAATTCTTCTAGCATTAAGTAGGAATGAAATTTTAATTAAATATGATTGAAATTATGATTCTTCTAGCATTAAGTAGGAACGAAAATTTTTGAAAAATAAAAACATGTTTTATTTCAAGGAAAAAGTGTTGAGAAAAGCACAAAAATTTACCAAATATAAGAACCATTGTCTTAATTATATTTGATTTTGAATCCCAAAATATTAGGAGTTCTATAAGGAAAAGTTTAATAAGAAAAAATTTATTTGATTTCAAAATCCTAAATATTAGAAATAAATTATTAAATTACAATCTTGTCCAACGTCAACTCTATTTTTAAAGGGGTAAAAAGGCGAACGACATTTCACTAAGGGCCTTCGTGCTTTTAATATAGTATAGATTAATAAGAAAAGTAATTTGACTAATCTGCCCTAAAGTTGAAAAAAATAATTAATTGTTTCTTGATTGTGTAAAATGACAATATTTGAGAATAACTATTTTTATTAAAGATGAAAACCAAATGGGAAACGAGAGAGCAACAACAACAAACCAAGTCTAATCCCACAAGTGGGATCTGGGGAGAGTAGTGTGTGTACGCAGACGTTACCCCTACCTGGTAAAGGTAGAGAGGTTATTCCCGATAGACCCTCGACTCAAGAAAAAGAGAAGAAGAGAAAGGAAAAAGAAGAAGAAAGAAGAAGAAGAAAAGAGAAAAAAGAAAAAGCAGAAGAGGAAAAAAAAAGAAGTAGCACCATACAGTAACAACAAGAAAATATGAATGCTAACGCGAATGAAACAACAGGGTATACATAAAGCTCTAAGAATATGAAAAAATACAATAGTGCTATTAATACTACTGGTAAGGAAAGGGGAAACTCTGCGTCTGCTACATGAGTCTCGTTGCTCTAAGTATTCTTAAAACTAATTACATTTCATAGTAGAATAACATTCTTAACTATGGTCCTTCATGCTAAAACATAATTTGATAACGAAATTAAAACATAAACGAATCTAAGATTTATCTAATCAATTTAGTATCGAAAGTGGATTGAGACACAAATTAATTTGTATTAAATTCAGTTAAAGTTAATAATCGTGTAATAATCATCTCTTTTGTAAAGTTACCAGCTTTAAGGATATTTTAGTAATTTTAATAGAGGTAGGCATTTTTACCAAACCAGCAACAACTTAATTTCAGCTTCAGCACTTCTATCCAAACTACTTATTTATAAAACCAACTCTAGCACTTAAAAGGCTTTTTTCAGTATTTTGCGCTTAAGAAGTTACTTAGAGGGTGTTTGGATTGGCTTTTAAGTTGGTCAAATCAACTTTTAAGTTTTTTTTTTGCTTTTTTCCGCATTTGTCAAAGTTAAAAGTGTTTAAAATAAGTTAAAAATTACTTAAAACAAGCCAAAAGCAATAAGTTGGGCAACCCAACTTATTGCTTTTTGGCTTAAAAAGCTTTTTATCAAGAAAATCCACTTTTTAAGCCAATCCAAACGGGCTCTTAAATTCAGCTAACTTCAACAGGCTCTAATCGATGAAGTTCCGGCTAAATTACTTATCTATACACATATTTCCATAAACCAAAATTAAAGATTAAAATTACTATCGAGCGAAAAATAAAGATATAAAGGAAAAACCTGTAATCAGAGGCGGCACGATAATTGACAGCGGCAAGAGCTTCAGTGGCATCAGCATGACGTTGTTCATCGTCAAGCGTACTTCCGTATTCGCTCTTTATCGACCACGAGTCCGCCGCAACTGACCGGTCGTCATCGGAAATCAAGTCGGTTGCTGCCGCCGGTGTTCGCACCATCGCCACGTCGGATTCCTCCGGCAGCAGTCTCATTCCGCCCATATACCCAATTAAGAGAAGATCAGCGAGAGATACCAAAACCCTCAAGAGGAGAAGCAAATAGTAAGGAATTTTCAGAGTGATGTTCAGATACGGAAAAGAAAGGAAAAAAATAAAGAGAATGATGTTCAGATGTTAGCGCGTGTCGTCAATGTAAGGACTAACTTGTCTTTCACCACTTTTGATTTTCTTCGGGTTTTGCTTCATCTAAGAATTTTTAATGGTATTCACTAATTTTTTATTTGGCAGAATGGCCTAAATGGCACATGTATTTATACCACTTTATCATGTCGATCCTCAAACTTAGATAATTGTCAATTGAACACTTATACTCATTCAAACCGTAAATATTAAACGCTTATGACAGGAGGCTACCAGTGCGTGTAATACAATCTCCTACACATAGGACACCAATCAATAAAATAAAATACGTAGTGTCACGACCCAAATTTTTCACCATCCGTAGTCATGATGGCACCTACTAGTGAAAGCTAGGTAAGCCGACCATTTGAATTTTTTACCTTTTTCTCATTTTAATCCTTTAACAATTAATAACCAACATTAGATAAACAGCGAAATTAAATAAGCGGAAGATTGAAATGTAATATTTTAATAAAGATGTCAATACTAATCCATGTATAGACTACCCAAAACTGGTGTCACAATTCCACAGACTGTCTAGGAATACTACAAATAAAGGTCCGAAAGAGTTATTACAACACCGTCTCTGAAATATATAAAAGAAACAGAATAAAAGGATAGGAGGAGACGTCAAGGCCTACAGACGCCTGCAAGACTACCTCGGATCTCCGAATAGACTGAAGGCAGCAACCCAAAGCTATAGTCCGTAGGCTCCAGTACCGGGATCTGCACACAGTACATAGTGTAGTATCAGCACAACCGACCTCATGTGCTGGTAAGTGCGTAGCCTAATCTCGGCAAAGTAGTGACGAGGCTAGGACCAAACTACCAATTAAACATGTGCAGTTAAATCATACAAAGAGGAAAATAAAAGCAAAACATGACAATTAAAGACAGGAAAGGAGAAATCATGCTGCGGAGGACAACAATAGCAACAGAAACCAACAGTTAAATGTAAAGAATACCGTAACTCAATTATCAATAACAATCAGGAAATATCAAAGACAAGTGCACGACATCACCCTTCGTGCTTTTACTCTCGTCCTCACTATAAAATCAATAAAATCGGCACAACGTCACCCTTCGTATTTTTACCTCACATAATCATGGCACGGAATGATCCTTCGCGTATTAACACTCATATAAAGGCACGGAATGGTACATCGTGCGGCACGGCATCACCCTTCATGCATTAAAACTCTCTCACAAATATCATGCACGACATCACCCTTCATGATTTAACACTCTCTCACCAAAATAATACACGGCATCACCCTTCGTGCTTTAACACTATTCCTCACCCAAACAACAATCACAAAGCAATAAGGGTAAGGAAATCAACAAATTCACAATAAAATTCCGGCAAGGAAAATAGTATTAAACAACAAAATCCCGGCAAAGGAGATAACATTAAAACAACAACATCCCCGCAAGGGAGACAATATCATAATCCTCTTTTCTTTTTCACATTTATTTCACAACCCAATTCACAATTTGAGTCAATGCTCTATAAGGTTCAATTACCAATTATACTTCCTCAAATCATGTTATAACTTGAGTCAATGCTCTTCAATGTTCAAATACCAATATTACTTCCACAAGCCTTGCTCAACAATAGAAATCATCACATAAGACATGAACAATATAGACAGAATCACATTAATCATAGTATAAGACTCACGGGCATGCTTGACACTAACGTATAGATACTCGTCACCATGCCTATACGTCGTACTCAACAACTAACACATAGAAAATAGGACACAACTCATAATCCCCCAAGCTAAGGTTAGAACAAACACTTACATTGATGCCACGAACACAATTCAAGCCTCATTTACCGCTTTACCTCTTGATTCTACCACCAATTCGCTTTACCCCAAGCTAAGGGCATACTTCGCAATTGCGACACCTGGCCTCGCAATTGCGAGATCAGATCCTGCAACACATATCGACTGAAACCTGCAACTTCCTAAGTTCAATTTCACTCCGTGGCCTATCCAAAACTCACCCGAGCCCTCGGGTCTCCAAACCAAACATGCACACTAACCTAAAAACATCGTACGGACTTGCTCGTGCTATCAAATCATCAAAATAATATCAACAACTATGAATTAAATCTCAAATTCATGAAATCATTCAAGAATACCAAAATTTATAATTTCTCAACTTTAAGTCCGTTTTATACCAAACCAATACCAATCTTTACCAAATTTTACATATTCAACCTAATTAATATTTCAAACTTGTATCGGGCTCCGGAACTAACATACGGGCCTGATACCATCAATTTCAAATATATTTCATCTCCAAAAATTCATATATATTCCAGAAAATAATTTTCTTTAAGAATTCATTTCTCGGGCTTGGGACCTCGGAATTTGATTCCGGGTATACGCCCAAGTCCCATATTTTCCTACGAACCCTCCGGGACCGTCAAATCATGGGTCTAGGTCCGTTTACCCAAAATCTTGACCGAAGTCAACCTAAATTCATTTTAAAAGCAAAATTCACCATTTTCATATATTTTCACAAAATGGCTTTTTGGACACGCGCCCGGACTGTGCACGCACCTCGATGTGTGTGAGATAAAAATGAGGTTTTAAGGCCTTTGAACACATAATTTAGTTCTAAAACAAGTGATGACCTTTTGGATCATCACATTCTCCACCTCTAAAACAACCATTCGTCCTCGAACGGACATAAGAAGGAAGTACCTGATTCGGAGAAAAGATGGGGATAACGACTCCGCATATCGGACTCAGACTCCCAGGTCGATGCCTCAACAAGCTGACCTCTCCATTGAACACGAACAGAAGGGAAACTCTTCGATCTCAAGTTCTCAACTGATGAATGCCGGTCTAGAATATCTATCGGCTCCTCCTCATAGGACAAGTCCTTGTCCAACTAGACAGTGCTGAAATCTAACACATGGGATGGATCGCCGTGATACTTGATCGCTGCCAACTCGACGCTACACTAAGGTAGGAAGAGCGGGTCGTAATAGCTTTTACTCGATATTAGGGCCGGGATCGATTTCCTCAGGGAGCTAGTAGTGGAGTTGGATTGTCTGTCTAGCCTAGAGATGTGTTTGTACTCCTAATGTCACTTCAAACATTTTTGGGTTTTCGAATTATAACTATTTTTATAAAACTATTAATTAACACTAAATTATTCTACGAGAATATTGCTAAGTTGTATCTAATGGGAAGAAGGGCACTAGGGTCGTGACACTACCTAGGTGGCTAATTGTCGGGTAGATGTTACTAAGGTTCGATTGACATAATTGGGGCTTATGCTATAACCGTTGCACAATTTTACCCACTCTCACACCTCTCAGTAGAGAGAGTGATTTTGCCAATTGACTCTCTCTCGAGACCAAATGGGTAGGCAAATTAGACCAAGCAACTAGGGTTCAAGTAGGATAATTACTCTCTCAAGGTTTAATCCGTTAATTGGGACTATCGTTTCTCATGAGTCCATCCCAATTCCTTGTTGGGTCAATTTTGGGATCATAGACTCTCTTTCTCAAGAAGAGTTAAACCCACAAAGCTTGAATCAGTGTTTGCAACCACCAATTCTAGATTAAAACATAAAATCAACCCAAATAGCAAACACCATAGTCAATCTAACACTAGATGGCAACACCCATCAATTACCCACACTAGGGTTGAGCCACAACCCTAGCTAATGGGTTTAGCTACTCATGCTAGATAAAGAAATTGAAGAAATAGATGAAGAAGTAAATATATTAATTAATTGCTAAAATTAAACTACAAGAATCTATCGTAAATGTAAAGCAAAAATGCCAAAAATGGCTACAAATATCGTTCTCAAGAGCACAGCTCACGTCTGAATACAAAAGATGACCAAAAATAATAAAATGTTCTATTTATACTAGGCTGGAAAAACTGGACAAAAATCCCCCTGCGGGGTCAGTGCGGGCCGTACTAAATGGACCGCGGCCGCACTGGGCCCTTTGACTTTGACTTTTGCTTCTCTGAACTTTGACTCCGCGGACCGCGTAGAATGGACCGCGGCCTCGGAGGGAGTTGGCGCGGTCCGCGTAATCACAACCTCGGACTGCATGGCATTGGCTTTTCAAACTTTCATCTCTCTGAATCTCATGATCACGGACCGCACAAAAGAGTAGTGCGGCCGTGGAGCTTTCACCGCGGACCGCGAGATGTGTACCGCGGCCGCGTTACCTCTAGCCTGGTTTACCAACTCTCTGAACCACCTAGTGTGGCCGCATTCAACTTTGCGCGGTCCGCACTAGGTCTTCTTTCCTTAAATTTCTTGGTCTTTGATACTTGAGCAAGTTTTACTCCTTTTTTAGCCGATCTTTGACATTTCGTCACTTTGTCGATCAAACCTGCAATCAAGCTCAACTTGTGAGCCTTTTAGGGCTATTTTGTAACAATATATGATCAAAGCATAGGCAAGTAGGGTCATAAAATATGTTAAAATCCTAACTTATCAACTCGCCCATACTTAAACCTTTGCTTGTCCTCAAGCAAACAAAATAAGACTCAATCCTTAAAGGAAAATCTAAGTAATTCCAACGGTCCTAAAGTAACCTCAATAAGCATCAATTGGGACTAACAATTGCCCTCAATACGAATGGATCATTAACAAAATTTAAACTTTGAAAAACTATGGATCAAGTGTGATACAAGAGCATCAAGAATTGACTCATTACATCAAAGAACTCTCTCAATAACTTTGGTCGCTGTGGAACCCAAACTCACACATCGTCAACTCTCCCTAAGCAAACCTCATCTTTTAAAGTATAAGCACACAAACCAAGGTTAATGGGAATTCACTTATCTCTCTCAAGGAAAGGTCACAAGTCCGGCTCTAAGTACCATATGCTTTACCCTCATGTAAGTATCTACTAATGCAAGCGTCATCCAACTAAAGATCATACAGAGCTTTTGTGGAGTCAGTGTGAAGGCTTTTGGTTCAGGGTAGGAAAAGTTTTTGGTCTATATAGGTTCTATCTTCCCTTAAGTACTTCTTTTGATTCATTTTAGCACAATTCTCTTTGACTCTTTGAGTATTTAACTTCTTTTCAA